TCAGGGTCGAGACGGGTTAGTTTGTCTACAAGGCCAGACTAGGGATGGGTAATTTGTCGACCCTGTAAGGGTTGGGACAGATTGGGACGACAACTTAGAGATGGGTCACTTTTGACCCTATGACCCTAGCAAAAATTAGTGATATGAATTTCTCATACCAACATATGGGACCTATTTGTAAAGTTTTAAAACGGTAGCTACTATATTGAAAACTAAAAAATATAAAGGTACTAAAATGTAATTTTGCCATCAAAATTTTTGGACCTATTTGTAAAAAATGTAATTTAGGTACCAAGTTGTAAGAAAAAATAAGTTTTGGTACTAAATATAATTTTAAATAATCTATGTTTTGATTTGAGCTGACCCATACTTACCAGTCCCAACCCAACCTTAGAGTGTCAGACAGGGACGGGATGGGTCAGTTATACAAGTTGACCATTCAGGAACGGGTCGGGACGGGTCATGTCAATTTACAACCTTAATCCAAACGACCATTTGAGTTAATTTAAAATAATAAGGTTTATTGTTAGGGTTGGAGAAATAAACCACACCGTTTGAAAAACCATGGACAAACCAGACCACATAGTTTGGGTCCGAGTTGTAGACCATTAAGAATGATATGGTATGTCCCTTGATCTGTATTATCGGACGTATTGATGTTTTGGTTTTGTTTAGATCACGGTTTATCAGGCAAAACCATGGACACAACCCACGAATTCGTGTTAGCAACTCACTATACCACTCTCCCAACTCCTTAGCGAAACCCAAGTTTCAACCCTAATGTTGTGAGTGTCATCCCCTTCTTCATTTATAAATCACACTCCACCACACTGTAGAGATAAGCATGTCTTCATATGAGATTATGTATGTTTATGACATTATAATACAAGTTGGGTGTCCTGACTTTATATTTTTGTTATTATCTAGGATTTATAATATCAAAATTATATATACATTGGAATTTATGGTTTAAGGAAAAAAATAATAAGGTTTTTATATTATTGGTTCGATTATCATATGAAACAAACTGTTTATTTTTCGCTCAATATATATGATCCTGACGACCAGACTTGACCAGATCATACATGCATGATCTGGTATGAACTTTGTAGTATTTAATCGGGTTCCTAGTATATGATTGATGTTCTCGATTGGACCATAGACTGTAGGTTTGGTTCGGTTGGGCTAAGATCAGGTGACTAGGGGTTCCCTTAGTTACCTGACTAAATCAATCTCAGCAATTGAGGCTCATTAGAATCTAAGGGGTGTAATTGATCTCATTTAGTGAATGGTAATCTAGTAATTGCAGATTTATTTAATTATTTAAAATTAAAAAAACTTGCATGCTTGCTAGTTTTTTCCCTGTTTAGATTCGGGCGTACATACAACCTGAGAGAGAGAGAGAGAGAGAGAGAGAGAGAGAGAGAGAGAGAGAGAGAGAGAGAGAGAGAGAGAGAGAGAGAGAGAGAGAGAGAGAGAGAGAGAGAGAGAGAGAGAGAGAGAGAGAGAGAGAGAGATTTGATTTTCTGGCGATGGTGGAGGAGGATTTTCGACGTAGGGAAAATTTCTGGCGGCAACACCAGCTTTGTGATGTTTGTCGGACTATTTTGTAATGTTTGTATCAATTCAGTTTGTATCGTTTATCATTCTAGTTTGTCATTTTTATCTATTATGTTTGTAATGTTTATATGACTGGTTTGTATACATGGTAATTTGTAATGTTTGTTTGTCTAGTTTGTTTATTTTATGTTGTGATTTGTATACATTGTATTCATTAATTTATAATACAATTTTACTATTTTATATTGTAAGTAGTGGCATTTTGTACTGTTAGTATGTTTTGTAATGTTTGGCGGTCTAGTTTGTATTGTTTGTATAGTTCGTATGTTTCGTATTGTTTGTAAATCTATGTGTATGTTTTGTCGCTCTAGACCTCTAGTTTGTATTGTTCGTATGTTTGTATGGTTTGTAAGCACGGTTTGTATACTTCATAATTTTCCATAATACCCAAACTACCTCTGTTATTAATTAAAAAGCCCTTTCCACTTTTTAACCGTCAAATTGGTATGTCCATATCTAAAAGCTGGGAGTGACTTATTTGTTTAGTTAGATTTGTGGATATTAAATACAAATTACCTAGTTACCCTTATTTAATTATATTTCTATATTATAATCCAAATCTTTCATTTAAAACTAATCCAAAACATAGAAAGAAATTTTAAACTCTTTACCACTATGTGGATTAATAATTCAACTACAAATATAGAAATGTATTACAATTTGGCACTAATTAACAATTCATCTTGGCACTAATTAAAAATTCATCTAATAATCCTAAAAAAAAAAAAATTTATCTAATAATGTACGCAATATTCTGTATCAATTGCAGCCAATTGTTCGCTTTATTGCTATAACTCATCATCTTCTTGCTAACTCACCGATGTGGAATCCGACAATCAATCAAATAATAATGTACAAGATGAGCATAAAGTGTTTCTAGGTGAATCTAACAAATCACATATACATTCATATTTAAATAAAATACGATATTACAAAATGAAATGATAAGTTCTCATATTTATAAAATACGAAATTATAAAAGTTTACAGTTGCATGACCATTGAATTAAAGTAGGACAAATTTTTAATGAAAGAAATAATTAAGGGTAGAAAGGTAATTTATCATCATGGATTTTAATCCATCACCCAAATCCCACCTCAAGAGGTGGAACTTTCAAGTCCGTGGGGTCCACGGATTTGGAATCCCAAAAGTGGTGGGCCCCACAAATTCCATCTCCCTAATTCGCTAAAGGAAACAATGAATTTCGGTTCAAGTCCATAATGGATACTAGATTGTACCCCGGTCCGTTGGCCGGTAATTATATGATAATAACATTTAAAAAAATTATGTGTTTAAATTTAGTAATATGTTCTTCTCTTAGACTCTTACATCCATGTCATGTTATGTCACTGTTATGTGAATTAACAAATAGTCTTATCCATTTTACAAAATAGCAAGGTAGTTTGTTATGGAATGTTTGCCCTAAGAGATGCTTTACAATGGTGCTTGACCTATGGCTTTGTTTTTGTCAAATTTCATGGGGACTTAGAACAATTGATACGACGGATGGTGGGGGACGATTTTGCTCATGATCGGAGTGGAGGTGTGCTCGAAGATGCCAGGGTCCTAGCTTCCCAATTCAGTTGGATTTCTTTATACTTTGTTTCTCGTCGACTTAATAGGGCCGCCCATCATGTGGCACAGAAAACCCTCACATCGGGAGTTCGACTATTGGTTGACTCCCGCGCTTTATTTATTTCCTCTGTATGACTGAACTTTTACCCTGACTTTGCCAAAAAGAAATAACAAAGGTTTCTATGTCACCCTTATAACAAAAAAAATTATTGAATTATAACAAAATTTAAACGAAGGTTTCTAGTTCAAATTTCAAAAATCTTTCTCTCCTCTTATATTTGTGCCATGATTATATGTCAATATGTCATGCCAATTAACAAAAAATGGTAAATTTAACAACATAGCAATGTAGTTTCTTAGTTTTTACTATTAAGAAAGACAAATTATTCAATCATTGATAAGAGCATCCATCATAGATAATACAACATTGTAATCATCGGTCTTCTATGCTGATTTTGGTTGAAATTGAAACAATAGAACTCATGCAAGGAATCATCGGTCTTCTATTCTGATTTTGGTTGAAATTGAAACAATAGAACTCATGCAAGGAAATATCAACTCATGCTAAACTTAAATACACAATATTATAGGTGTTCCAAAATGATTGATTTCAATTCTTTACCATAAAGAATCTCCGTCATCAACTGACATTGAATGAATAGTCTTTTCTCAAGCAACCATTAGGTGTTTAATCTCATTTTTATCATAAAAAGAATAAAAAAAAAAATTAAGTTGAATTTTTAGTTTCAACATAATAAGAAAGATTTTTTAATATCGTAAGAATGTTAGCTTGTGAGAAGTTCAATCAGTTTAGGAAAATTAATAGCTCCAATTTATGTGAATAACTTTTCATCCGCAAAGGTGGCCAATCACGAATAGGTGATCAATAACATCTTAAGAACTAAACTAATAAATTAAGAAATATTTACCTACTTTGACGTTCAGAGATAGAGAGGAATGAAATGGTCAATGAACATAGAATTAATAGCCTTTTTATTGAATTGAGTAACGTTTCTACTTCATAGAGTTATTTTCACAACACATCTCTTGTAAAGTTTCTACTTCATAAAGTTATCTTAACACATCTATTGTACCCGAATTGAAACTTAGAACTTTAATAAAACCATCCGATTCTAAACTAAAAATTATATTTGTAAACTGGTATTCCCACGTGGTTGGATATCAATAGATGATTTAAACTTCATAAATATATTTTTTTTAATAAATTACTCTCGTTACGTACTATGATAGACTTGTGTCTTTATTTTATGTTTGGTTGACCGTATTAAACATGTATAAAAAAAATTCATATACATTTATTTTAAGTAAATAAACCGATAATTTGTTTATTTTATATTTAGTTGTATATATAAATTCCTAAAGTTAGTGGTATGCGGAATTGCAATATAAAAATCCGATTGATATCCTCCGGTCAAGCACCAAATATTGAGAAGCAGAAAGACTCTTGAGTCCTCCAAAAGAAAAAATCAAATGGAATAGGTGCTTAGCCAGAACGTAGTTATATATGTGGGAGGATATTTCCTAGTCACACGATCCGGCCTCTGGTCCGGTCTGATTCTGTTTGGTCAAACTATCAGGCAGCTCGGCTCCAAGTTACCCAGAGTCCCCAACCTAAACTAACCGCCATAAGTTTTTGGCCAAAATTACAAACCTACGCAATTTCCCCCCATTCGTTCTTATCGGAACAAACGCTGACGATTCCCCTTTCCCTTTCAAATTTCATGACCGTCTCTCTCTGCCCTTCTTCACAACCGAGCTCGCATCCCTCTTCCCTCCTGCAACACATGAACCCTACCCTGGCGCCGGCGGATATCAAGTACTCAGAGCACCGCACTGTTATTCGCAAGATCGCCCAGCACCCCGACGTCCCAATCGCGAAGAAAATCGTCCGAATCTCCGTCACGGATGGGGACGCGACGGACTCCTCGGGGGACGAGAACGAGGACCGCGGAGGAGGCCGGGTTAAGGAACGGGCTCGTCGTCGGCAGCAGCAGCAGCAGCACCAGCGAGTGAAGAAGCACATCCAGGAGATCAGAATCCAAGACTCCCAGACGATTTTCGACCACAACCAGCTGCAGGGCAAGGAGAATTTGGGCGTTCAGGAGAGAATAAGCCGCAGCCCTGTTCTAATTAGGGCTAAATACCGAGGGGTCAGGCGGCGGCCATGGGGGAGATGGGCGGCGGAGATCAGGGACCCCACCCGACGGCGGAGAATTTGGCTGGGGACCTTCGACACGGCGGAGGAGGCTGCTAAGGTCTACGACGCGGCTGCGATTCGGATTAGAGGCGCCCACGCCTTTACCAATTTGGTCAAGCCACCTGCCGACGGGAAGGGATTGGAGACCCCGCCGCCGGGTTCCACTGTTTCTGGATCCGATTCCGGCAACGAATCTGTCAGCTGTGTGATGAATTCGTCGTTGGTTGAGGAAGGAGAGATGGGTGGACTGTAAACAATCAGATTAACTTTCCCTTTCCCTTTGCTTTTTTTTTCCCTTTTTCTTTTTTTGCTTCCTTCCTTGGACGTGAGGGCAGAAAAATTAAGGTGTATATGGTTTGTGAAAATATCTAAAAATTGCAATCTGACTTTGTTATCTTTTTTTTGTTAATGAGGTCCAGAAGTTGTATGAGCAAAATTCTATTCGATTGAGGTGTTTTCAGCAACCCAATTATCGACGTGTTCACAAAACATTTAATCGTTGAATCTCATGTTGCGAGCTTTTCACAATCGTTGGATACAAACGATAAGTGAGTATAAGAAGATTATATGTGACTGAATAAATTTAAACATTTCATTGGTTTAGTTTAAACCTTGATGTTCTTTTTGGTTTCCAAATTTTTAACAATGTTGCGTTCCTCTCTCTCCTGCCCATATACTTGTACAGATCTCACATCCACAAAATTCCAGCTTTGCACATGAACGAACTAGAACCAGGTATCAATAGATGCTTCTTAGTTGGAATATATTCCGTTTCTATAAAAGAAAAACAAAGGTGCTTCTTGGGATAACAGAAAGAGAAAAAGGCACTCTATAAGATGAACTAATACTTTATAAGTTAACCATGTCTCAATTGATTACTTTATCACATCTTGCTAATTATAATCTATCCCATTTGTTATAAGGATTGACAGCTCTACCCCCAATTGCTAGTAATCCAACCCTATCCAGCCAAGCCAACAAAGAGAAATCTCGCATTAATCGGATATGAAAGGGTATATGGATAATACATGCGAAGAAAACAATGGATTTAGGTGTCCCTGCCTCATTCTCATCCCCTCCTCTTATACCACCTACACTCAGTTATATTATATATCATATGATCCATTCCTCCTCCATCCATCACCCAAATTCCAAAACAATCCAATTTAAAACTCCTTAAGTTCAATTTTCCAAATCAAGCAAGATATATTCAACACCTTAAATATTCTCAAACAATCTAAGGTTTTGCTTGAAAAGTTAAAAAGTTTATCATGATTACATTAACTCTCAGAGTTAGTCTGTGGAGGCTTAAAACCCATCTATGAACGGATACGTCTCTTATTACTTTTTATCCTATAAACCAACTATCCGAAATATGTATGGTATCATCTATGAACGAGAATATTAAAAAAACCAATTATGAAATTCGAGATATTGAGAACTTAAATATGAGGAGTTTTTAAAGTCAATTGGTTAATAAATTCAATGAACAACAAGACTTTTCAACCTTTAAAGATTTTGAAAATGTAATTCCTTTGGACAACATTAAGACTGATTCTTCTATAAGAGAAGCTTTATGGTTATTGTGATTGGTTAGTTCATGTATATTATATCTATTTAACATTTGAGCTCTAAAATCATGCATATTCTTAACTCAATTACAATAATCCTAAATTCAATTTGTGCGAGATGTGAGGGCGAGGATTATCCATGGTATCCAAAACCGTGGGAATGAGGATAAAAAAACTTCCACACACACGGAGACAGAGAGGACAAGGATTTAGAAATGGAAAATGGAGATGTGTTCAAGACAAAATCTATACTAAACTCGTTTACTGTCATTCCTATGTGTTATAGGTCATTTTAAAAGTGGGTTCTCTAAACCAAGATTTTTACGGGTTTGATTCTCATAGCCTATCATTCTAAAACAAATCTTTTTTCCAGCCACTAGCAAGACTACAAGATCAAATCCTTTTCGATTGTTTATGAGGTCCAAAATTGTCAAATTGAGCTGTGAAATTGAGAATAATAAACACGAGACAAAAATCTTCTAACGTGGTATCATCAGGATGACACTAGTTTACGAAGAGGATCACCCTCTAAGATTTTTTGTATTAGATTTTGGTTAAAAGGGTCAAGGCAACTGTGTACAATATTTATAATTTCCACCACAAACTTTAGCAACAACTCATATGTACAATTACAAAAGGCTCCTCCTTAATTAATATCCTTCCTAAAATTAACATTGAGTACGCAACATCTATTTGTATGAAAGCTACGAGTGTCTACTTGATGCAACTATCTATGTCAACAAATCTGCTGTTTGATCTTCTGTCGTCAAATAACTAAGCTGTATAACTACTTCTGCCACCAACTGATGTTTGTAATATAGATTTACCTCTATATGCTTGTTACACTAATGTAAAATTGGATTAATTACCATATGTGTTGCACTTGAGTTGTCTCCATAGAGCTTTATAGTTGTTCGACACTTGACCTCCAACTCAAAAAGCACCAGTTCCAGCCAAATAAGTTCAAAAATAGCTTTTGAGATTGAGCTGTGCTCGACATCAGTTAATGATTTTGAAACTTTGTCTTCTTTGTGACACCTTCATGAGACAAGAAGATTGCCCGAAATGAATACACCAGCATGATGTAGACTTCTTAGTGTCAAGGCAACCTGCAAAAGTGACATATGCCAAGGCCTCAATTGTTGGATCAGCCTTCGTAGGAAAGAACAACCCCACACAAAAGATTAGGACTTTGCTATGGTGACTTGCAAGTCACCATGACTTGAACAAAACGCTCGACCTGTTCACTGATATGGTCGACCTATTTAGACAAAACGGTCGACCTCTTCACTGATATGGTGGACCTATTTAGATAAAATGGTCGATCTCATTGTTGGAATGGTCGACCAAATGTACTATTTTCCATTTTGCTATGTTCAACAAATGGTCAACCTCTTCCACTAAAAGGTAATCCACTATACAAAAAAATTGGTCTACCACTTCCATCAAGTGGTCAACCTCTTTCCCCAAGCAATCCACCTCTTTCAATAATGGCTCCACCTGATGAACCATTGCTAGTGATATCATCATATATAATTAGAGTCCAATAACAATAGATATGATGGCTAGTAAGAGACTTAAAATTAGTACAATGGCTGCAAACTTAAAATTAGGAAAGGTTGAACTGAGCATCGGTTTGCGATCGTACGATGTTGCTTATCAAGTACAATCCCCTGCCGAGTGAAGTGCTCATAGAGGATGTGTAGTGACCCTCCACATGGACCGAGGAAAAGGAGTTGAAAGAAGCCCTTATGCGAGTGCTAAGAAGCAGAAATTGCTCTTGCTCGGTCACCGGCAGTAAGAAACAAATCCCACTTGTACTAAATATGACCACTCGGCAAGCAAAATCAGAAAGAGAGAAAGACTCTCCTTGTCAGAATAGGTAGTGATGTGCTTAAAGTTAAAATCATGTTTGCGAAAGGATTCCCCCATTAGTTTTTGAGAGTCTTGTGCTTAGTTGGTTGCTTATGATTTATGTGAGTAAGCCAGATTGTCCTCACGAGATATGCACCTCACTGATGTGGTTAGATTCTCCTAATAACTATTACACCATAAGTTGTTAATCAACCACTATCGACGATCAAAATTGAGTATTGCTAATTTGGTTGGTTGCATCCGATTTGAGTCCGTCAATGGTAAATGGTTGCAAAGAACTTGAGTGTGGGGTGAATGGTATGATCATTAAAGCACAACCCATCCTTTGAGAAAGAAACTACTGATTATCACAGGAGTACAAGGATAAATTTTTTGTGTTGATGTTGTGTTTTGTGTGTCGTGGGTCTTGTGTTTTGAACTAGGTTGTGTCTCACTGGTCTGTCTTGTGTTTTCTCCAATTATTGTTCTCTTGTCTAAGTCGTTGCTTAGGGACAAGCAAGTATTGAGTGTGGGGTTGTGATAATTGTCGAAAACATATTGGTATTAGGTGTTTAATGTGATTATTTCATGATATGTTTGAGACATATAATGCTTGTTTTTGGGTCCAACAAACCTGGAATGGTTATATAATCATTACCGTCGAGTGAAAAATATTTTATATGTTTCAGGTAAATAAAATGAGAAATTGGCGTTGAATGGTATTACTCAAGTGGACCGGATTGGATTTTTCTTCAATTAATTGGACCGACAATTAACTGAGAGCAGTTAAAGGGACTCTAAGCATGGAAGGGGGATTCACGGAATGGGCCAGGAGCGTTTTTGGGTCCGAAATACTTGGACTGGGCCGGAATTCTAGAGGAATGAGAGTTTATAGGGAAATTGGCCCCCTGAATGGGCCAGGAGCGTTTTTGGGTCCGAAATACTTGGACTGGGCCGGAATTCTAGAGGAATGAGAGTTTATAGGGAAATTGGCCAGGGGGATTTTCTTTGGATTTTCTGGCCCCAAGTCCATTGTCTTCTAGCGTGGGGAATTAATTGACCCAGGGGGCACAAAATTGAGGGTTTTTTTGTGGTGTTGGGGGCCTTTATATTAATTAGTAGCATGATGAATAAGAACATGATTGTGTGTTTTATTTTTTCATGAACTAAACCCCAATTTCTGGGGGAAACCCCATGTAGCTATTTCTATATTTGATGGATTGATTCATATCTCTTTTCTTCCAATCTCTATTGCATGAAATTTCTTAATGCTTTGTGTTGACTGACCATCAATACAATGATTTGTAGTTAATTAGGTTATTAGAGACAGTGAAATCCTAATAACTGAACCTATTTCATGTGACATAGTAACTTATCGAAGCGACAGTGGATTAAATAAGGTGTTATGCAGTCTTAATTGGGATATCGGTCTTCAGGCTAAACAGTTAATTCATTGAGCTACGACAGTAGGATTTGAATTAGTTGTTTAGTACGTAGTAATTCCCGACAGGGATAGCTAGCACATTCGTGATATCCTGGCTGTAGAGAGTTGGATTAAACTGATTATAATATGCGAATTAATCTGGATAGGATAGGTAGTGAGTCCCGGTGTTTCTCCCAGAGCTTTCTCCCATTGAATTTCTCCCGACAAGTTTACCTTGCTTAATTAGTTTATTTTTCTTTTAGATAATTAGTCTTATTAAACCATTTTCACATATAGTTTGCTCTATAGAATCGATAGAATATAAGTTTGTACCAGTCCCTAAGAGACGATACCCGGACTTCCCGGTTTTACTACGAGATAGGATTCAGGCATTTCGCTTTTGCC